GAATTGATGCTTTTGAACTGTGGTGTTGGAGAAGACTCTTGAGAGATCCTTGGACTGCACGGAGATACAACCAGTCCATCCCAAAGGAAAGCAGTCCTGAATATTCATTGGAAGGGCTGATGCTGAAGCTGAAGCTCCAATACTTTGGCCACCTGATGTGAAGAGCCGACTCATTAGGAAAGACCCTGATGCTGGGAAAGATTGAAGGCAGAAGGAGATGGGGACAACAGAAGATGAGATGATTGGATAGTATCACCAACGCAAAGGACATGAATTTGAACACAGTAATTGAAATGTTGATATTTAGATTATCTAAATATTGTTTGATTAATCTGTAAAATAAAGTTGTTAAATAAATTAGAAATACAAACTTTATTTTTGGGGGAACATGGATTTTAAAAATTACTTAGCACCTTCAAAGCACCTGTTTATTAGCAATGACTATGGAACTGCATCTCATTCATTGTAGAACCACAGAGAATCTGAAGTATAAACTTTTTCAGGGGGTATTTTTCTCATCATTTGCAGGGTTATAGCATGGATTTTAAATAATGTTCTTAGCTTTTTAAGCTGTTTGCACTCTTCACCAATTAATTCCATTTTTTTTAGCACCAATCCCCCAGCAATTAGTTCTAAGAATAAAATATTTTACCTTATTAACATTTCATTTGACTATCCAGCTTCATTGTTTGAAAACAAATTGAGCATCTCTAGGATGAATTTAACAAATTTTGTCTTTAGAAAACAGAATTATATTCTGGATTCATAGTGATTGTGTCAGTACTAAATTACACTGGAAGTTTTACAGTAAGGAATTAAATTCACCTTCAAGCTTGTATATTAAAATATCCTTCCCCAAATAAGTAATCCTTAACTTATGAATTCATGAGGGAGTTTTGAAGTATTTTTGAAAAATTAGGGAAAAGGGAAGGAGCTCCATCTTTCTGCTTGTAACTCCAAAGAGTTGGTCTTGAAAAATCAAAAAGGGTTTGTGTAAGATTTACCAACATGCTTATTGGGGTAACCAAGTCCTTATCTTACTCTGCAGGAGGATTTCTTTGTTATAACACATCAACCTACAGCCAACCATTTGGTTATCACAAGTACAAGTACTTGAGCAGTCATTGAGATGAGAAAGCCTAATAAAGAATCAACCGAAAATTAGATTTTAACACAAACATGCCTACCATCACACATGGTAACAGAACACAGAATGCATTATAGAAGAGCCTTGTCTCTCATGTGATAGGAAGGTGCTGGAAGAGGAGGCACTTTTGCATTTATTCACACCCCAAAATGTCCTGTATCAGGGAATTCACTCCATCAGAGAAGAACGATTTCTATCCTCATTTGTGTTTGAAACATGAAAACAACATAACAGCTGCATACTGCATTGAATAAGGAAGATCCACATGCATTTAAATCACTTATATCTTACTTTTTTATGATGCAATTGTGAATTATGTTCCTTTTGCATCTGTAATTAGAGGGCAGAACAGATGGTGAAGGCTTCGTTTAAAGTGATGTGTCCATTAAAATAACCTATGCTGCCAAATGATTGTTCACTATAACAGGGTATTCATTCACTATGGCAGGCACTTTGCTGTACTGAAATATGTTGCAAAGGCCCCTGGACTATACATGACGCTTATTATTTTTAAGGGCTTTCCAATAAAAGGGTTCACCGTAGCACAGCTAGCTTTGTACCTCATTTATCTTGCGAGCATATGTTTTACTATATTGTTCTAATTAAAAAGTGACCTTGTATATAATGATCAGAACTCAGCGCTGAAAATGATTCATATAGGAGCTGGGGATATGAGAAGACAGTCCAAGCCATATTAAACCGGGCATTGAGGCGAGCGGGTAGGGCAATCTCTTCTGTGCATTACTTGGAGGTGATTTCTAAAGAGAAAAAAAAAAAAAATTAAACAAGGGAAAAAAGGGGTAAAAATGTCATCATAAGATTTGGGTCAAAGATGCTCATATGAAGTTTAATTATTTTACATCTGGCCAAAGCATACTGACTTCTATGTTGTTCAAAGCTATGAAATATGCACTTTGTTTTGCTTTGCTTGGTAAAGATTTTTGGCATATCAGATTCTGGTCAGCCATAATAATAAATACTATTGAAATTTCAGTTTTGTCAGCTTCTGAGGACAAAAAAGAGCTTTCAAATACCACTTCACAAAATTCCCCAAATTTTACAAAATAGTTATTATAATTTCCTCATTATGAAGCAAAAAACAGTTTCAAAGAGATTAGGAGAGCAGCCTGACTCATCCACCGGTAAAAACATTTAAAAAGAAAAATTTTGAAGACAATAGGAAAAATATTGAAAACAACAGATGAAAACATAAATAACTTCTTTATGTAATTCATGGAGAAAACATTTTCTAGGTAAAAATTGGTGAAAAAAGTCAAAAGTACATGTTACAAATTTCACAAATGAAATAAAAGTGCACACATCTAACTGAAGAAACTGTTTGTAACCAATATGAAAGGAACTGTAATTCTTGATAAGTGAAGAACTCACACAAATCGATAAGGAATTACTGAGACTCAACAGGAACATATTACGAAGTAAACTATCTGTTTACAACAGAAAATACAAATAGTTTACAGATAGTTTACAGCAGAAAATATGAATTACTAATTAAAATAAAAGATATGTTCAACTTAATTTGCAATCAAACTCTTTTAAAATAAATAACAAGAAGTACCATTTTCAACTAATATTAGGAAGACTTTTAAAATGTTCATGCCCACTTCTTGGGAAGTTTCTGTAAGAAGGTCTTTGTGGTGATGCTAACTTGGGTCAGAAAGATATTTCTGAAAAGTGTTTGAATAATTTAGGTCAGGAATATTAAAAAAAAAGTGTGCATTTTATCTATTACTTCTACAAGTCAATGCTAAGGGATCAAGCAGAAATGTGGCAAAACTTTATGCATTTGGATTTTAATTATAATGTTATTTATTGAATTTTTTAAAAATGTAAAAATCTCCTAATTCTCAATACCCTGGTAATAGTTAGAAAAGTTTTAATATTTTCATCCCCAAATACTTTAGCATTAAAAATAATGTTCTTAAAAATCTGAGTTCTGTTTGCATTCAAGGAAGAAATCTTGCCATCAGAGATTTATTCCAAAATTCATTGTGAGAATTCACTTCTGGCAGACTGAATTCCATCTCTCAGGGAGCTTCTTCTTAATTTTGGCTAATCAATAAGAGATTCTCATACTTTGGCAGTTTTTCTCTACCTGCTTTTTTGCAAGTAGTTAATGGTCTGTAAATATCGTTTAAGAAGCAACAAGGGAGTACACCATTAAGAGGAAATCTGCAGGGAACCCTTTTGTAGAGGGAAAGTCTTTGACTAATACAAATATTTACTCCTAAATAATTTTTATTGGTTTTAAAATTTATTTTAAAATCCTTTAGGTGGAGCTTCCAGTCATCTTAAGAGTATTTTTATTTCAGAAAAATGAAACAAAACAAAACAATCACTCCCTTTTTATCAGATTTCTTGTTTCCCTAACTTCTTTAGTAAACTTGGATTTGGCACTATAATAAGAGGATGGGCTGAGGATGTGAAGAGCTTCTGAATGACAGTTCCTGATCTTCAGATTCTTTGAATTTGCTTTCATGGAATCTGCCAACCTTTTGATGGGCATTCCTAATCCGGTGTGGAGCTGAGAGGTGAAGTAGCCAGCGTAAGTGAAATTAAGCAGCTTCACCAGGACTTTACATCCTTCTGGGAGAAACTTAGACATAGCCACAGGCTCAACACTCCCATAGAAACACTGTGGAAAATCCCCACCACTCCCTGCTGCTGGGAGTGGGGAAACTGAGGTCCACGCCTAGACCTCCTACCTAACTCTAGGTCATCTCCCAATGTCTCAGAATGTCCCAGTGTGAACTGAGATGATAGTTAGCACCTGGTTCATAGGATAATCAAGAAGATTAAGGCAAGGGTGATGTGGAAATGATTTTCAGTCTTGCATGGGGAAATCAAGCACTTAACCACATTATATGCGTTTTGATTGCTTTCTTGTCAGACTCTATTCTGGGCTGAAAAATTCTACAGAGCAGGTGCAAAGTCTCCTTCCCTTCTGCTTCCCTGGAGCTTACTCTAGACCCTGTCACAGAGTCCTTGTTTTATAAATATGTGTATTTTTTTTCCTTTCACTGGACCTACACATAAAGGAGTAGTTTCTGAGTGGAATGTTATTGTATTTTAAACTCCTTGGAAGATGCCCATATATTCCAAGGATCAATAGTTCTGCCAGAGCTTCTGTTAGTTTTATTTATCAGTATCTCTTCCATCATCATTAACTACTTCACACAAGGCCCTGAATAAAATTTAAAGATACTTTACCTGTCCGTTAGAATCTTAGAATCTAGTTTCTTCATTGCACAATAAGATTATTCATTAATAAAGATATTAAGAATTGGACATTCAAGATTCATTCAGACTTCTCACAATGGCAAAATATTCCAGACCTTTACTTTCTTGATTTGAAATGGAATCAGGGCAGGGAAAAGTTACAGGACTAATATAAAATAAGGAATAGCTGAATATACATTAAAATATGATTGCCAAACATACCAAGATAAAATGGTTCTTTGGTGTTTTTTATTATGAAAGCTCAATTTTAAAATATCAATATTTTATGCTTTAATTTTTGATCTCTGACCAAGCTATTTGTCATTGTTGGAATAGTGTTCTGCAACCACTACTTATATGCTTTTTCATTGTGAAATGGGTCTTTGGTGATCATTCTTTTTCATGGAGTGCATCTATCTTTCTCAGTTAAGATTTTCGGCTTTTACTTCCCCAAAGGTTACATCTATAATAATTGTGTTACCCAACCTACCAGTGGCCATTTCTCAATTATTCTAACTCAACTATTTCTGGTTGCCAGCAGGAGTATGCTTCCCATTTCTTCCCATACATGGATGCTTGTTTCATGAATGCCTGTGGTTTCTTTCTTCTTCTCCAGAAAATTAAGAGGCCATAGATCAGAGGAGAAAATGCTAATTCAAAGGCCAGGCATGGCATGGTTGAAAGCTTCAGATGCTATGATTCCTTTCAAAGAATTTCTTGAGTCTATGCAGTTTTCAATTCATTAAGGTCAGTCCAAGAATATTTGCAGCTTGATCTATCTGCCCATCCAGGTAAGCTGTGTGTGTGTGTGTGTGTGTGTGTGTGTGTGTGTGCATGCTCACTGAGGCTTGGTGAGACTTTAAATATGGTTAATTCTTTTTTTTTTAATATTATTGGAGTATAGTTGATTTACAAAGTTGCTTTAATTTCAGGTGTACGGCTAAGTAGATCAGTTGTACATATACATATATTCATTGTTTTTCAGATTCTTTTCCCATATAGGTTATTAAAGAATAATGAATAGAGTTCCCTGTGCTATACAGTAGGTCCTTTTTAGTTATCTATTTTATATACAGTAGTGTGAGCTTTGTTAATTCTGATTGTGAAGGAAGGTGATCCCTGACATGTTCTCACAGGGGACAGTTTTCCAGTTTTGAAGAGACCTGTTGGGATAAATGCATTCAAGATAATAGCATTGGGACAGGACAAAAGCCACATCATTGTAAAAATGCCTTCAACCTGAAACATTCTGATGGAACTATGCATGAACAATGGACACACACTGCCTAATGTGGTATGTAAAGATAGCAATAACCCTTAATGGCGACTGTAAAATGAAGCATTATGTTAGCCAGTAGAAAGGAAAATGCAAATTGATTCCTTTTTTGTTTAGATGTAAGTGCTTATCAAGGTTAGTAGGTATTCAAGGTCTGTGACACCAGAATAATTTGTTTTATTATAATACATGGAAAAAGAGAGTGCTTGGGGCTTTCTGAGTGACTTGGATGGCCAGGGAAAATTCTACAGTCTGGGGTCTTAACAATCTCATTTCAACATATCTCGGACTCTATCTCATAGACAGAAAGGAGGTTCAGAACTGAAACCTTTTTAAAACGAGATGATGGTGTTATAGATGAAAGCTAGTTATATTTTTTCCTTGGAGAGAATATAGAATTGAAACTTGCATTTTGATTTGAAGGATTTTAGCATTGCCAATAGACAAAGGCTTTCCAAGTTCATTATCTCAGGCTCCCGGACACTAGCAAGATGTCCGCTGTTGACTCTTTCCAATCACGGGGGCCCACTGGACAGCAGACATTGTGATACGTGTGAGTCAGTTTGGCTGGAGCACAAGCCCCACCCAACCCAGCCGCCAGGTCTCTCTATACTGAATCTAAGTCTACGGGACGCTTTTATTCTGGCCTGGTCACCAAGGTAACAGCTTAATTTTTGCATGCTGTCACATAGTGACACCTATTGTTTGATACAGCAATTTTTGGCAATGCCTTCATGCATCTCTACCCAGATGGTGGCTCAGGAAGAGGGAAGGTGAGAGGGCAGAAGGAATCATATTGATGGAAAAAGCTTTTCATTTGAAATGCTGAGCCACAGTGAGAGCTACTGAATGTCTTCCCTGGGTACAAGTGATCTCTCATAACTAGGCTAATTTACAGAGATCCTGACAATGGTAAATATGGCTGCTCAGAATTTCCTTTTAGCTGTTAAGTAGATGCAAAATGCATGTCAAACACATGAATTCTTAAACACATGAATGAGCAGATAAAACCAGCTCCATATAAATGGACTTAAACACAGAAATGGATATATCTCTCTAATTCTTAAGTAGGATTTGGTATTTGGATCTTCCTTCTAGTAGGTTACTGAGTGATATAATTTTAATGAAAAAAATCAGCCTTTGTTTCAGTGGGTTGTTGATTGATGGACATAACTAGTTAGTTACCACTCTGGGGAATTGTGTGAGTGCAATACCTGGAGCAATTTTTTCCCCCCTTGGGAATAGATTGCTGTCTGTCAAGGGAAAATCACTGAGATAAATAATAAAACACTAAAAATGAAATCAACTGTATCAGTAGTCTTTGCTTTGCAAATCAGCAGAAAGTAACTTGAGCTAGCTTATTCAAAAAGGGATATTCATATGAGGGATACTGAAGTTGTCGTGAAAGGGCTGAACTAAGTGGCGTCAGAAAGCATGGAAACATCGATATTGAGGTCTGGATCTTCCTTCTTGAGATCTGTCATTAGCAAACTCAGTTCTCAGGAATTTTCTGTTACAATAAAGAAACTCATGTAAGAAAGAAGCTGATTGGCCCAGCTTGGGCCAGGGATCTGATAACTCTGCATATGGTAGTCCGAGGAGCAGCATTGTAGAACTCACACATGACCCACCACTAAGGGGCCTTTCTGTGGAGTAGGGGGAGAGTCAAAAGGGAAAGTGTGAGTTGGATAGACACCACCAAACATGTCAATTAAAATGGTAAAATAACAAAGGTTCTTGCTTTCGGCAAACTACTGATCTCACTTTAGGGACAGCAACTCTGAGTCTAGAATTAACTGCAAGTACCATAGCACGGAGTTTCCCCGGTGGCTCAGTGGTAAAAGTACCTGCTTGCCAATGCAGGAGATGCAGGTTCAGTCCCTGTGTCAGGAAAATTCCCTGGAGAAGGGAATGGCAGCCCACTCCAGTGTTCTTGGCTGGGAAATCACATGGACAGAGGAGATTTGAGGGCTGCAGTCCATGGAGTCGCAAAGAGCTGGGCATGACTTAGTGACTGAACAACAACAACATAGCAGAGTCCTTGAGCCTTTCACAGTCCATCTTTCTTCAGTTATTTTTAGCCCCATCTCAGGCCACACTATTCCCCTCCCACATACTGTACAAAATTCACACATAGAGCAAAGTCAGATGCAGAACTTACTGTAGTTCCCTAAACATGTAAGATACCATCTGTACTGCCGCCCCCTTGTTTATGCCATGCTCCGTGACCGAGAACATGACCCCTCCCCTCTACCTGGGTGTTGGCCTTGTAGAAAAGTTAGCAGGGTTTGAATGCCACCTCCTCCAGGAAGACCGCTCTGTCACCACTGTCAATCAAGTCCGCAGCTCACTGTGGCTTCTCTCCAGTGCCTAGAACATGAGAGATAGATTTACTTTTCATGTTTGTAGCCAAAGATGAGGACTATATTTCTTTTGTACCTTTGTATCCTCTATTGCATCTGGGCCAGATGTTGGCGCAAGAAGTGATCTTTGAAAAAAGGAGTGAGGCCAAGTCAATGTGAATAAAAACTGGAGGACTCTAGAACATCTCTCCTTCTCTGCTGCTCCCCAGAGCAATGTGGCTGTCCCCTGGACCTTCCTTTTGCAGCCTATAGGTGGCAATGAGAGGTTTCTCTCTCCAGCTCTTCTTTCCTTCAGGTCTGATGGTAAAGACAGATCATTCAGAGGCATGCTGTGTTTGGAATGAAACCAACGCAGCAACAGTGTTATATACACTTCAGTCCCTATCAATCTTGACAGGATTTTTATATGGGGATTTTATGACGAAAGGCTTCATATCCCATCACACCTTCCCTGAGCCATTCATTCCTGGGGGAATATTTATCTACAATCATAAAAAAAATAAAAAATTCCAAGAAAACCTGCAACATATTGCTATTACCTAATGCAAGCAGCCTCCATTGTTCCTGTTATTAGCTAGCTACACAGACCCACATGCTACTTCAGTGTGGGATGTATATACAATGGACACGTTTTTGTAGTTACACATTCACTTATACAAGCATATGCTGTATACGGCCACCTTTCCTGGACGTAGCATGGCAAAGTCACACACGCGTACACACACAGAAAACAAAAGGAAAGAAAAGAATATTATTGTTTTCACTCCTTCATAAATAAGCATCATTTTTATGCCAAAAGTTGGGGAGGTGGATGACAGAAACTAGCAGAACATTGTAAAGCAATTATCCTCCTATCACAATTAATGAAAATAAAAGAAGTGAGAGGAGGGGCACAGAATTCTAAATGAGGTGAGACACAGGCCTTTCTAAACCTTTTACATCTTTTACCTTTTTCACTGTGTCCATTTTGCTAAATCCGCTCCCAGCCATCAAGGCCAGCACACTCATTTGCCTAATTTGGAATTAGAGAGAATGCGGACTGATTTTTCAGCTTCTCTCAGGATACAGGGGAAGGGCCATCTGTTAGGATGAGCGGGGTGAGTAAATCCCTCTTGACTTATCTCTGACAACAGGGATGGAACAGTAGCTGGTGGACCGCGGCATTCTCTGGATTCGTGGTAAGAAACTCACCCTCCCTCCGAGAAGTCCATCAGTTAATATTAACAAGCAGAAAGAGCAAGAACAACTTGGCAGGAAGCTCTGGATTTCCCCCAGACTCTGAGTCAGGAGGTCATCCAGGAAGGAGTCTGGCTGTAAAGTACACCTATCTTCCTGTGATGAGAGTGACGACCGGGGTGACTGGAAGCAGAGTGTAGCCTGCTCTCCTTTGGGAAACAAACACCCGCTCCAGTAAGTGCCTTTTAATGTGCATCGAGGCTGTGTCTAGGAAAAGGATGCGCAGTTGGCAAGTACAGAGCTGTAAGGGGATCACTTTGACATGCCGATAAAGCTTATTGGTTTACTTTGGACTTGGCTTTATCATTTACTGAAGGATATTATTAGTGTGGAGATGATAGCTGTTTTCGGACTTCTCGAACAAAAGCCAGGGAAATGTATATGAACAAGAGGTCTGTTACGGAGAATCCTACCCTGTTTGTTCAGTGACTTTGGGATCCTAATCATGCAACTTAACAGAGATAAGACTCAGAGCAGAGAAAAAGAGCCCACCCACTTTGGGGCCCCCAGGAAGACGAAAGTCAGTCGTGTTAAAAATGGAAGCCCGTCCAACTCTGAACATGTGTGTCGTTTTCTCTTATTGCAAATATGATATTATAAAAATAGGCTTGCTCTTTGGAGCCAGATGGCACGCAATACGTCTGAAGCTAAATCCAGTCTTGTGACAGTGGTCATCGCCAGCGACGAACCACTTGGTCTGTGATGCCAAACTATTCGCTTCTTTGTGAGTCTTTTCCATTAAGCAAGCTCCTCTGAACTTCTCTGAGTGTAAAGAAACATACATGCCCTTTGATGATGGTGGGACTGCTGTTTTGGGAGGTATCATTTTGTTTGTCCTGTGTTTCATCCACCTCACTCTTGTTTAGAAAAAATAATGAAGAACACATAAATAATAACCTTGGTACTTATCATCAACTAGCTTGTTGCTTCACAATCTGATTTCACTGCTTACTTTTCAATGATTTCATTGATTGAAGTATCCATTAATTCAGCAAAGTCTTCAGTTGCATACAAACCAAGATTGTAGGAGCTCAAGTCAAATGATATAAGTTGAGTTCGTCAACACACAGATTTTAAAAACCATGTCATCTTGGGAAACTCTACATTTTTCTCAGTTCTAGCTTCTATGGCTTATTTATATTTGACCTAAAGATAATCCTCCTAATTTGACCTAAAACTATCATTTAAAAAAGTGATTTGTAAACTGTAAAGTACGATGAAAATACTTTTGATTCTCAGAGGTTAGGACTGTGATATTATATGAGTTAAATATAAGCATATTTTAAGCATCGATTGTATGCTCAGAAATATGTGAGGTGTTTTGTAGATAAAAGGACTAAACTGACAGAGATTCTATACTCAAAAAATTTTGAGTCTATGAGAAGAAAATAATTTAGTCATGGAAAAGACACAAATTTAGCCATTAAGTTGTCTGAAAATTTTCTATAAAGTAATCTGTTTGCCAGGCAAGGCCACTAACATTGTGATTCTCTGTGCATCTTGGTCTGATTTCACAATAACCTATGTAACCGACCATAGCTCTTATTTTAGGATAAGCTTCCTTTAAACATAATAAATTAATCACTTTTATTTAAAAAGCACAATTCTGCTTGTTAAATAATTTCCTACTTTCACAGCATTTTGGATGTTTAATGACTGACACTGAATCCAGGCAACTCATCTCTGTACTTTTCTAGGAACCAAAAAGCTTTTCAAATAATAATTAAGAATATTTTTATTATTAACAGCAAATATTCAAATGTTAAGGCAAAACTTCCACATGTAGGCTTATCAAAAAAAGTTTGCTTAAATATTGATTGGCTATTTTATTGAACGAGTGTGTGTGTGCTCAGTCTGTTGTGTCTGACTCTTTGTAAACACATGGAACGTAACTGCCAGGCTCCTTCCTCTATCCATGGAATTTTCCAGGCAAGAACACTGGAGCCGGTGGACCCAAGGATCAAATCCCCATCTCTTGTATCTCCTGCATTGGCAGGTGGATTCTTTACCACTGAGCCACCTGGGAAGCATTCTATTTATTGGTTATGTGAGTTAAGAACTGAATTTTTGGAAATTTAGTGTTCTGACAAGTAAGTGGGAGAAAAATGTCCCATTTTAAAGCTGAAACATAAAAATATGCATAGAGCACTTGTAGTAATTAGATGCAGCTCAGGTTTTGGTGACCTGAAAGACAACAGTTTGAAGGAATAGAAGTTCCTTTCTTTCTTTCTCAAGTAGCCACCCAGGTGACTGATCATGCCTTCCTCGTGGGTTGTAATAATTCCACTTCCATCATGGATGCCAGCAGGACAGATAAACTAGACAGAAGAGAAACACTGCTTACTGAACTGATCTGGTCCAGAGAACCGGTGCACCCAGGGGCCTCCTCTGCCCCATGGCTGGAGAATCCTCAGGGAAATGATCACCTCCGAGAAATGGGCGCTGTGACGTTGCCCTGTGGGTCCCCTCATCCAGCATCTTTCAGGGTACTTACTGCACTGTCCTTACAGGACTAATTATAATTTGGCTGATTGTTAGTGATTTTCCTTCCATGATGGCACTTTCTATGCTAACGGTCGCCTTACAATATTATGAAACTCAGCCTTGAAGATGTAAAGACAGCACGTGTGGGGCACGAAATGAGGCAGGTGTAAGTGTTGAGATGGGTGTGTAAAGTGATTCATTCAACCAGGCAGAAAGGGGCAGTTGTGTATAGGAGGCCTGTTACACCATGATGGGAGCCTGCTGGGCGATCCTCAAAGTGTGTTGCTAGAATCCTGGTGGGATTTTTACGAACTAGAAATTGCCACTGCTATTTCAGAGCAGGCATCCACCAACTCAGGGTCTACGGGGTTGCAGTTGAGAGCTGTCTTTTCCCCCAGAGGCCAGAAGACTTCCCGGCTCTGAGAAGGTGCCGCAGATGGTGCCGCAGGTAAGTGTCAGATGGGGAAGCAGCATGCGTCCTTGTCACCTTGCCTTCCCCAGAAGCCACTTGCCTGAGCCGCTCTACGCTGTCAGCCAAGGCTCAGGTGTCTGGCTCCCTGCCCCGCTCCTGGAGTTCGCCTTGACAATGCAGCTTGTGTGCCCTGCCCCTTGCAGGATGAGAAATCACAGGCAACAGAAGCCACTGGAAGTGACACCAAACAGGGATTCTGGCCTTGGCTCTCCTTTACATTTCTCCTCTTTTCTGCTCCCCTGGTAGCTCAGATCTGCAGTGTTACCCTATGACATCTGGGGCCGGTGTTGACCCTAAAGACAGTGGACCCAGACACAGTCGATTTTATATTCCCTGTCATAGCCACGTGATAGATGAACCTGCCTTAGAGGAGTTTGGTTTCACCTGTATTGAATTTAGGCTTCACAGGTGGCTTAGCAGGTAAATAATCCACGTGAAATGCAGGAGACACAGGAGATGTGGGTTTGACCCTTGGGTTGAGAGGATATCCTGGAGGGGGGCATGGCAACCCACTCCAGTATTCTTGCCTGGAGAATTCCATGGAAAGAGGAGGCTGGTGGGCCACAGTCCATGGGGTCACAAAGAGCTGGACACTACTGGAGTGACTGAACACACACACACATCCTGGGTTTGAGAAGACACGGAATTGTGAATGTCCAGCTAGATTAAACTACACTGACAAAACCAGAGGAAAGGTCAGGCCTAGGGGTATCTAGAGCCTCTCTGAGGTTCAAAGACTTCTGAACCACTTCTGATTTTTTTTTAAAACATAACTGACATGTTAAGAAAAAAAAAAGAGAGAGAACAAATAGAAACTTTGTGGCATATTTAACATTTTTTACATTTATCAAAATAACACTTTCATTAGACATAATCAAGCTGCCTTTTAAAAGAAAATTAAGATGGAGTTCCTAAAATATATATAAGCATGGAGGATTAAGTAAAATGGTTTTATTTTTCTTTTTATATAAGAAATGATTTTATTCCTACTTTTCAGTTCCCGTGCAGTTTTCTCTGATAATACGACTCTGTAACTAGCAGAGCAGTTGAACTAACACCCATAAATACAGGATGGGAGACGGTTAACACACACTAATGTTTCTCTAAATAGGATGGTTTTTTATTGAAGTATATAAGGGGTGATTCTTCCTCTTGCTTGTGTCTGGGACAGTCCTGGTATAAACCCTTTGTCTCAGCATAATTATTAATAGCATTCAAAGAGTCTCCCAGTTTGGATGATAAATTGTTTAATCAACTTAGCAATATGTTTAAACCCCTATGCTGAATGCCTTCTTTCCACGGTCCCCACATGGCTCAGTAACTCTCTGTAAAGCCTATTTATAGAAACATCAACATTCTCAGTTGGAGGCACTTTGAGAATAATAGGCTTTGGAAATGAATATGGGAGTCATCTCCATAGAGGTGATACCACAAGTTGAGGTGGTGAAGTTGAGGTCTTTTTAAAAGACAGTGCTAAAATGTCATGGTTATGCCTTGTCATAAACCTCTTTGTGCCTTTACATGGAACCCTTTTTTCTTTCTCTGAGCAGCAGGACAGAGGGATGTCATGTCTTGCTGTATCAGGTAGACTGACCCTAGGATTTGAGACCCTATGGAAATGGATTTGTGAGGAAAGGAGAGAGTCAGTTCTTGTGGCTGATTTCATATGAACTTTCTGTGGCCAGATGCTGGACCAGTCTGCTACCAGAGATGGGTGAGTGATGAGACCTACAGAAGCCCTACATCAGTCTGGACTTGGCATTTTCCATACAGCGACCCCATGTATCGACTCAGCCGATCCTCTGATTCTACTATGATATTGGCAGTACTTGTAATATTATTCCTGGTTTACCCTTGATTAAAAAAAAAAGTCAGAAGAATGTGAAATATACAAGTAACTCAAGGTGACTCAGATGGCAAAGAATCTATCTGCAATGTGGGAGACGTGGGTTCAATTCCTGGGTTGGGAAGATCCCTGGAGGAGGGCATGACAACCCATGCCAGTATTATTTCCTGGAGAATCCCCATGGACAGAGGAGCCTGGTGGGCTACAGCTCATGGGGTCACATAGAGTCAGACATGACTGAGCGACTAACATAGTACATCAGTCAGAGGAAGAACAGGGTCCAGACCGAAAAACCCTCCAGACTTGAATCCAGAGCGTTTCTGTGCAGCTGTGTGGGAGGGGAAAGTTAGCCGAGGCTTGATTAGTTC